AGGCCCGTGACCAGCCTGGTTCCGAGCCCTCCCCGCCAAGGACCGAGGGCCGGGCTTCTGCCGGAACGTGGCTCCCACCCAGGCTCCTGGGGGGCCCCACATCTCTGGCGCATCCCCCAGGCGTGCCTGGGAGTTGGGCCCCACCTGCCTTTGGCATCCTCCTCCGGGAGCTGAGGCGTGCCCAGGTGTCCAGGCACAGTGACTAGAGGGACACTGTTCCTGACAGGGGCCTGCACCCAGATGTTCCCATTCTGCATGCTGCCTGCTACTGAGGCTGCCCATCCACACCTCTTCTCTTGGGCCCTCCCTCTCCTGGCAAATCAGCAGCTCTGTCCCCAGAGCCGACCTAGTCTCGTTGCCCCATCCATTCTGCAGACGGCCATTGGATGCTGGGGTGAATGAGACACAAACCCCTCACCCCCAGGAGGTCCCAGCGCCTGGGAGCTGTCTTGCAGGAGGCACACACCTGAGAGCCAGGCACAGCTGGATGAAGACCCGTCCAAGGAGCACCACCTCCCTGCTCTTCCCTGGCACAGAGGGCCAGGGCTGTGGGCAGGGACTTGCGGGAGGCTGCTGCCTGGGGCTCTGGATGGGGTCTGCAGCCCCAAGCTCACCAGCCCCTCCCCGCAGCCTGCTTCCCTCCTGAGGGTGGCCCCTCACGTGTGCCCCCTTGTGGCATCCCTGTTCTCCTGCCCACAGTCCTGCAGCCCTCGGACCTGGCAGAGACCAGCTGAAGCATGCGGGGCCTTGGGACACCCTCTTGTCCTTCGTTCCTCCCCAACACGGCTTAACTGTTTTGAGCAAGGAGAGTCTTTATTCAAAATGATGGGGGATGTCTTACAAAATGGAGAATGCTGGGAAGGTAGGGTGTGCAAGCCCCCCAAGAGCTGGGAAAATAGGGGTCCTCTTGCATAGGGTTCAGGGCTGGGTGAGGGCTCTCTGGGTCAGGTGTGCAAGCCCCCCAAGAGCTGGGAAAATGGGGGTCCTCTTGCCTAGGGTTCAGGGCTGGGTGAGGGCTCTCTGGGTCAGGGGGCGTCCAGGCCTGGGGAGGAGAGGAACTGAGCTCCAAGTGGATTACCAGGCTTTCCGTCCTGACAGGTCAGGGGGATGAGCATTCTGCTCACCTTGTAGGTGGCACAGAGCGGGAGCGAGGGGTCTTGTCCAGGGTGAACAACGGGGTGCCCTCGAGTCCATCACACATGGGGGAAGAGTCCCATGGAGAGGGGGTTCTCTGCAGAAAGCATTTTCCAGAACACCAAAGTGGGGGGGGATGGTTCTTAGTGTCGCTGTTTCCAGGGGTCCAGCCTGAGCTTCTGTTGAAGACAAATGGTGTTTATGTGTCACTGACTGAGAGGGTCATGGGTCGTGGATCTCGGGGGTGAAGCAGGGCCTCAGGGTGGTCTGCTGGGGACGAGGGCCGGCCTTGCTCCTGTAGCATCAATCAGCCCGGAGGCTGGCAAAGGTCAGGGGTCGGCGTGTCAGGGATTTTGAAGAGGGAGGCCTGGAATAAAAAAGGGTGTGTGTGACAGGTGACCTGGACCGCCAGGAGCCCAGGGAGTGGGAAGCTCCCAGGCGCGCAGCCCTGAGATGTGGGTGCCCCTGAGGCATGGTCCAGGGTGGGTCACCCCGCGTAAGGCTCCCTTCCTCCGCACGGCTGCTTCCGGCGCACTGAGGGCTCTGGGGGTCGGAGCCCAAGTGGACGTCTGCGCATCTCCCGCTCATGCCAGCCTACCAGGTGGTTCCCACTCCAGGTGGCCTGTCTGCCAGGCCGGCCGGGTGTGGACAGGAAGCCCGGGGCACGGCCCACCTGGCTCCATCCGTCCGACTCTGGGCAGGGCCCCACGTGTGGGCTGTCACCGGCTCCTGGCGGGGTTCTGAGAACTGCTTCCTGCAGAGACCTCCTGTGGGGGGGGGGGGGGGGGGGAGGGGTCAGGCCCTGGCGGGGACCGTTTGTAAAGCCGGCTGGCAGCAAGCTGGGAAACTGCCTTGGCCACTGCATCTTTCAGGGAGGCCTCCCCTGAAGTCCAGAACGTGAGCCAGACTGGGGACACTGTGTTTCGTCCCCACTGTCCCAGATTATTGGGGTCAGTGCTCTGCCAGACGGGGACGAGCCAGCTCAGCCGCCGTGCAGTGTGGTGGCTGCCCCTCCCCTGGCAGGTGGCCCGAGAGTCCCAGGCCCCCGGGAGGGTACTGGGCTCGGGTCCCCTGCTCCACAACTCCCCTCCTTGCCCGGTCCTTTGCTGAGTGTGGCTGTGCCCCTAGGCCACCCGTGGCCCACAGCCGCCCCTGCCCGTGGGAAGAGAGAGAGTCCATGAATCCTGCCCGTGTGGGCAGTTGTGTCGTGTGACGCCCCCCTGTGTACTGACGCCCAGGTGTCGTGACTGCTGGGGTGCCCTGCAGTGGTGAGGTGTGGCTGGGTAGTGACCTGGGGTAGGCCAGCCCAAACTTGGGTGTGATTGCTGGCTCCAACATTGATCAGTCACATGCCCTTGGGAGAGACCCTTAACCTCTTGGTGATTTGATTTCCCTGTCTGCAAAGTGGGGGTACTGGCAGGTATGCTCACATATAGCATGGGGAGACTGAGTCACCTTAGAAAGGCTCCTAAGAGTCCCAGAGTCCAGGTGTACCCAGGACCAGGCTCAGGGCCCCCAGATGAGCCCCCTGTGAGAGGCCTCGGTGACCAAGCTCGAGGTGGGGCGTGGCTTTCATGTGCCCAGCCTCTGACAGGGTTGGAGCAGAAACCTGGAAATCTGGGCAGGGAGGCAGTGTGACTGAGGCTCTGCTGACCGTGACATCTCAACTTTAGGGTGGAGCCTAGGCTTGGCCTCCCCAGCCGGAGGCCTCACCCAGAAGCTGTGGTGACGGGGATCCCAGAAATGGGCCCAGGCCCAGGGCCACCCAGCACCCACCCATCTGCTGCCGTCCTCCAGAGCCGAGACCCACAGGCTCGCCTGTGGGCCGCCACCTTCCCAGCCACTGGCTCTGTTTCTGCAGAGTGGCCATCTGCCCTGCACCGTGGTTAAGCCCATAGTTGAATTGCAATCGATAGTACACGTAGGTTTAAGATCATGCTAATTGCTTCATTTCCCAGAACACTCCTAAAAAGAAAACGAATTTCCCCGTAGTATTTTGCAGTGGGTGAAATGACCCTTGTGGAAATCGATCCAGGTTCCAGAATGAGCTGCAGAGTGGGAGGGCCTGGGGTGGGGTTCACGCCCCGCCCCGCCTGCCCCCTCCCTCACTGGCATGAAGGAATCTTCCCTGACTTGGGCTCAGCCCTGGCTATATGCCAGGCACCCAGGGAGGAAGCTTTGGTTTTGCTCATGTGATAGATGAGGAAATTTGTCCCCAGGGTGAACAGTCTTGCCCAGGGTCACCTGGCTGGCCAGTGGAGGAGCTGTCCCCTGCAAAGTGGCATTCAGGAAAAGGGTGGCCTTGAAGCCAGTGGGCACAGGTGCCAGTCCCAGCCTTCCCTCTCTCTCGGAGGCCCTGGAGGTCGTGGACCCCCTTGAGTGTCCACAACCTTCACTGTCAGATGGGTGTTGTGACCCGGCCTCAGGGGTGCTGCCAAGTACGACGGTGCTGTGTGACATGCCCCCAGCATTGCTCCAGGCGTGTGGCCTGTGAATAATACGGCCACGTCCGTCACAAGCATCACTGCTGCTTTGCTGGCAAATGGAGATAAGACATTTGGACAACATGGAGGATGCAAGATATGCTTAAGCGGGATACCCCAAATCCTCTTGGTCCAAATATCTACACTTACCCTGTTCAGTAGCTTCATGAAGCCGCTCAGTCTTTCCATGGCAGTGGGACTGGCATCCATCCACCATCTACCCATCCATCCATTCACCCACCCACCCGTTCACCCATCCATCCACTATTTATCTCTCCATCGTCTATCTACCATTCACCACCTATCGATCATCCACCCATCCATCCATGTGTCTACCCATCCACCCACCCACCCACCCACCCACCCATCCATCCATCCACCATCCATCCATCCACCATCCATCCACCCACCCATCCATCCACCCACCC